TGTTTTAATTGACCGGAATTTTACAAACATAATGAAGCGAATGCAATGCGTCGCTTTTATTTCTGACGAACGAAAAATTTGGTTAAACGTCACGCGACGATGTATTTTAAACTCGATTCGGACGCCCATTATTCGGCCACGTGCGCGATGAATTGACAAAAGCGACTTTTTCTGTTAAAAAGAGAAAAGAAATTTTCGAAAAGTCTACAATAATACTTATAATTGCGTATCATTTTGAATGCATCGTTTATTTAGATCTGGGATATTCGGACAAGCAACAATCGGATGACATATGATTGATTGAATCCGCGCCTATTTTTTTTTTTTCGCAGATGGCAATACCGCAGGAACCGGTCCTGGAGATCCGTGGACGGGTGGCGGTGGTGTTCAACCCCCATACAGTGGATATGCACCCCCTCACCTGGCGCAGCCAGCCTACCCAATGCACCTACCCCACGACCCCATGGTAAGTGATTTTTCTTCTATCTTTCTCTCTTTTATCTACCTGCTCCTTTTTCACCCTTTCTATCCCAACTACCTTCCAGTCGCGGTCGAACCCGAAGAAACGATCAATCACGCGTGACTCGGCTGCTAGTTCCTCCGAAGCCGTTGTCGTGAAAACGACGTCTCTGGAACTTCTTAATAGACACGAGGATATTTCTCCTCCCGGGATTCTCTCTGTCGTTGAACATGCGAGTCGGACGAGGAAGTCGACAGATTAAAACCTAAGCGAGCGACCTAATCTTGATGCTCCGAAAGATCGATGTGTCTCTCGAGCGGCGTGTTCTCCCCCGTCCCGAAAGTTATGAAGTTTGACGAAACCTTGAACGCATCATCGGCGTTGTGTCGGATAAAAATTTGATCGATGATAAAAAATTGATTCCGAACCCGGAAAACACGTACTCGGTAATTTTTCGCGAACTTGTTCGTATCGCGATTATAATGTCGCGGTCGCTGGATAATTAAGTTCGATTGGGAATCGCTGTTGCAAACTTTTATTCGATCAATGATGTATATCGATGGGGGATTGGAAAAAGGCAAAGGCAGTTATTTGAGATGCACTCATCGCGGACAAGATTTGGAATTTCGCTGCACAATCGGGAGAAAACATTCTTCGACAAATATACAAACTTTTCGGAGATTTATCGTTTCGTTTGATGGCTTTCCGCGGAACATGATAAGTTGCGATCAAGGAGCTCCGCGTGGAGATGAATGCACTAAATCTCGCCCGGGGATTCGCTCCCGAAGTGCGCTCCGAGGTCGTCTCGAGGACGAGCCGCGCGTCGCTTTTCGGTCGGTCGGCCATTACTCTCCGACTTAACGGCGTTGACTTTAATCCTCTTCATTTGACCGTGATCCGCCGTGACCAGCTGGCGGACTCTTTCTGGCCGTCTTATTTCGGACCACCCGGTTGACTGTCGCGTGCTCGCGACAGGAGAGAGACGCGTACTTTCTCTCTCTCTCTCTCTCTCTCTCTCTCATCGTCATTTCGCTACGGTTGAGAGACACTGTTGACAGTGCTCCGCGTACCCCGGAGTAACGTCAAATGACTCACTGGCGTCTATATATAGACCTTCGACCCTCCCGCTACTCCGTGTTTCTAGTCAAGTGCAGCCTTCGTTTGATTTACGCCGTTCATGGTTACCACGAAATCCTCCTCTTCGTGGCACCTCGTACCACGTCTCTCGGCGGCCTCTTTCTCTTTGAGACAACGAGAGGAGGTTTCTGCTCCCGGCGTGTGACGTCGCGTTTGCGAGATACCTTCGATGAGAATCGTTAATAGCTGCAAACGGCGCGGCGTTATTTTATTTTTACTAAACATTATTCTGGAATATCTGTGAGATACATGTATATTGTATATATAATGGATTCTTGTATAAACTTCCGGCGCACTCGAATCATAAAGCCCGCTTAAACTTTAACGACCGTAAGACAAGCCATTTTATTATCTTTCGCGTAGCTACAGTGAGGTCTTTCGATCTGCGTGATATGACAAGAAACGTCGTAAAGAAGTTGTACGATTTAGGATTAACGCGTCCAAGGAGAAGAAGATGGAGTCAAGAGCTTCACCGTAAGATTTCTTTCGTTTACCAAGAGTTAAACATTTACGATCCTAGTTTAATGACCCATCTTCCGAGAATGCGCCGTCCGCGTCCATCGAAGAAGAATCCCTCTGCTGATGTCTCTAGTTTTTTTCTCGTCCATCGACACGATCCGAAATCCCGCATTCATCGCTGCTTCTTTACAAAACATCGCGCTGATTAAAAGACGATGTTTACAGACTCTTCTAGTAGGCATTTCGTAGGCCACTCTAATTTGTTGATAAATACATTAGAACGGTGGCTTAAAATTAGACTTTTATGAACGAGTTTTCAGTAGGTGCGAGAGAGCGCTATTCGTAGCGCTTGGCGTATCCAATATCAAAGCTGACCAGAGTGATCCATTATGATTAGAGAAAGAAAGAAGAAGAAAGATAGAGAGAGAGAGACGGACGTGTTTAAAGAAATCGTACAAATTACAAATCATCGAGAGTCGCATGCTACAGATATCTTTATCGTTTGTAGCTACACGAGAGATAAATCAAACTCGGTTTCGCGCGTTCGCTCTCAGAGTTGGCATTCCCTTTGAAATCCTCTCATCGGAAATCTCCTAACATCTTACAAAATCTTTCCAACGATAAAACGAAGATAAAGACTTAGATATAATAACATTGTTGCGTGAAGCAAATCGACAGTCGGTATATCGTAGTCTTTATATCGTTGTCGTGTTTCACAAGTCCTCAAGTTTCCACGACGAAGACAGAGATACTGAACACGCAAATTCGACAATTAATTACCGAAGACGTAAGCATGTATGTTCACCAAAACACGTGACCCACTTCGCCGCAAGAACCAAGCTTGGAACCATTTGCGCTCGGCGGTTTCAGGCATACTCGGCGATGTCGCCGAACGGTGAATCTGCAGCGCCGATCATGGGCTCGGCGGTGACCAGTGCGGCTTCCCTGCCGCCAATGTCGACATTCCGGGGTAGCGCCGCGGTTGCGGCGAACAGCGGCACAGGGGCGCCGTCCCCGGCATCGTTGCAATATAGCCATAGTCCTGGTGCACCGACGACCGCGCCTTCCGCGCCCAACGCTGCGCCCACGACGAACCAGCAATCTACCACGGACGACACCCTCGGCAAGACCCTCGCATCAGTCGTAAGCAACCGAGTACGTGTTGTCGAGAATCTTATATTAATGAATATTTAAAGGCCCAGTCTATACTCTAGCAATTGATCTCTTATTTGACGTTACATATGTTTTTATTGATGTTGAAACAATTAAGATATTTAGCTTTTTTTTTGTTTGGTACGAGCACATAGTGTGTTAAAAAATGCGCGGTTCGACGGTGTGACATGCTGCTTCTCGTGTTTTTGTCTGAAATGAAGAAGCTCGGTCTAGTTTTATTCCGTAAGATATTTTTGGGTTACTAAACCTAATTTTATTAGAAAAAATTGAAGAATAATAGCAGTGTTATATCTTATAAAACTAGATATTTTAATTTTGTTGATATTTTTTTCATTTGTTGGAGATTAGAAAAATATTAAAAATTAAATTTTTTAATTCTTATTAGGTTTAGTAAAACTAGACCGAAGTTTTTTATTTTAAACAATTACGAAGAGCAGCATGTTACACAGCCATTTTTGAACACGCTACACATAGAGGCTTGTATCGAACAAAAAGAAAAAAAAAGCTAAATATCCAAGATTTAAAAATACTGACGTACTGTTTAAACACCATATGTAAGACGCCAAAAAATCAATTTATAATATCCTTTGTACAAAATTCCTAAAAATCATCAATTGTACATACTGCTAGAGTAGACTAGGCCCTTAATAAAAATGAGAAAAAAAGACAATGCTCTAGATGAAACCAATACTTAATCTCGGTAATTTAGACGTTGAAGCATGCATTGCAATCAATAATTTAACACTCAATGTGATGTTTATTGTATGGAGAATTTGGACTTGATAATGTTATACATGAGCTGCGACGATTTTCGCAGATTTTTCCCACGGACCAATCAGTATCCAGTTATAGCAGTAATCCATCTACGCCCGTCAGTTCGCCGCCACCTTTAACCAGCTCGGCACCAGGCTGGGCATCTGGAGCCGCGCCAGTGTCTCCGCATTTTACAGCGGATCCAAATCGTGGTATTCACATGGTACGTATCGAAGTTACTATCTGAATTTTTCTACTAATTACGAAGAATCTTACAAGCAGACAGTCGCAGGATCTTTGCAACGTTATTCCCTTTCGTGTTATTTAAATTTTTCTAATTTCTCTATCACTTTTGTAAGACACACGGGCATATATTGATATATAATTATAATGATATCGTTGAATGGTTCCTGAGACACGCGTATATTTACGCTGCGTCAAGTTTGGTCGCTTTAGAAACACGCAATTCACTTTACACGAATGCTCGAATATCAATCACTTCTTTCCCAATAATATTTCGCGATATATGTATATATATATACACTAATGCGATACGTCGATAGTATACACATCTAAACGACACGCATAATTTTTATTTTTTTTCTGGGGAGGAGGGAGAGAAGATCAAGCGGGAATCATATTACGAATGAATACAAAAGAATTGAGGCTGCATTATTTTCTTATCACGTTACACTTTCAAATATATTTGTATAAAGAATTACAATTGCTCTTGGCACATAATCATTTTAGCACTAAAGTCGCACAAATAGCATGATTGCGTCGCACCGAGAAATCATCGTTTGTGTGCTTTCCTCACGAGCGGCTATCTATATATTTATATCCCCCCCACCCACCGCCGTATATAAAAGAATTATTAAGTTTATCGTGTTCATTTGACATATTTTTGTTCATTCCATCCTGTTTGTTGTGAACGTTGTGTTGACTTGGTTGTTCTTTTTTTTTTTTTGGTTTTGTTGTTGCGTTGGTGTTGTGTGTGAAGCCGGCGCCTGAACAGCAGAGGCTAGACGATGCCATCGGCTTCCTTCGCGACCATGCCGAGGTGAGGATTGCCGAATTTCAGTTTTTTTCCTCTTCTTCATTTGCTCATTTTTTTTCCATATTTTTTTACGCATGTTGTCTTTACGCCGTGACCCCGCGAGACGAACGCTAAAACGTGTCCATTGCACTTTTTGCTGATTACGCTTTCGGATAATTATGATTATATATTGTGATAAAGTCTTTATTGTACACAATTTATAATCATAGCTTGAACTTTTATTAACACATTCGCGTTTCGATATAAATAATCGACATTAAATAAACCGCGTTAGACTTTCTAATCGCAGTTTAATCGCGCGATCGAGCTGACTTTTTTTTTATTACTCTTGTATCTCTGCCTTTTTTCCGATGTCTATTTCTTTGTGATTAGCGCAACTAATTATCTTTCTATCGTGGAACAGTCAGAAAATGTAATAAAAGATTTCAATTCCGATTTTTACTTTCTTTTTCTTTTTTTTTCTCTTTTTTTTTTTTACTTGTGTGGAACTTTTCTAATATCAACTTTATGTAAATTTAATGAGAAGATAAGCGCGTCTGTAATTTTCCGCTATAGTATTCTCAAATAATTTTTATAATGAATGAGACACAATCTTGAACTACTGACGCGTAATCGAGTCGAATTTTCGGTATTTTGTTGGTACAGGGGACACGGATGGAGGAACGGCTAGACGATGCCATAAACGTTCTGAGGAATCACGCCGAGAGTCAAGTGGGCCTTCACCTCGGCCCGGTTGGTCCACACGGCGGGATATACTCGCATACCTCACCACCGCAGCTGGACCATCTGGTAAGAATTTTGGATAATTGCCGTAAAATGAATATCGAAATAAGTTCCTTTTTTTCCCTTACCCGCTCTTGCTGCAATACACAATGTATGCTATTTTTCAGACGAGTCCACATCCTGCGGTAACGGTAACGCAACCTCAGGGTTCCTACCCCGGTCTTACGCCCACGCCCGATACAGATGGTTCCATTAAAATAGAAAGGTTACCTGTGACGAATGCCAGTAAGTTGACCCTGAAGTGACATTCAAATGCAAATTATGATATAATTTACGACATGGAAAAAAGCCGACTTGTCTTACTTCTTGTCTATTCAAACCATATCTATTGACATATATGTTAGGATGGAGTGGTTCAAGAATTTTCGTAAAAACAAAAAAAGAATTAATAAATCGAATAATTATGGCGCGTTGTGCAACTTTAGTCACATGCCATTCTACTTTCGCGCCATCGCATCATCGAGCGGTCACTTTTCCCATGAGTACACTGCGAGGGAGAAGAAAAAGAGAAGGAGCTCCCAGGTGTTCTGCAACGGAGTCGCGCGGCCGAATAAGGAAATATTAGATAAATCACGCGAAGTCTTTGCTGTCCGGCGGTCGTGCTTACATTATTCCCGCGAGTACGTTCGGTTATCTAGCTCTTCGTTTCTCTTTCCGCCTCGCCGGCTCTGTCTCTTTCAATTTCTTACCATTAGAGCTATTATGTCGACGGGGAGAACATTTGGAATCCTTTTACTACGGATTAGGAGATCTCCTGTTCCGAAGGAACGCAAAACATTCATGCGGACTTGGAAACTATTTATGCGCTTTGTATACGTGGGAATAAATAATTTCTGTGAAAATTATTCTATTGAGAATTGAATAATCCTTGAATAAAATCTTTTGCACAAAAAAATACGTTATATTATGCAAATATTTTTAATGTTTCGTTTATAGTTCAGTAGTTTCGGTGCACTACTGTTAAATAAAATCGTGATCGCATATTTTTGCATACAATTGTACGTCTGATTTCCGCCGCGATTATCTCACGGAAACTTTTTTTTAAAGAGACACACTCACGGCATATACATAATGCGACTTAATACTCTCCCGGCGAATTGTCAGGCAAGAGAGCGTTTAAGAAGATCGGCTAAATTAGAGTTGAGCGAAATCTCGCAAAGTGCGCTTCCTGCTCCTAATTGGATACTTCACGGTTTCGTGACTAAGGCCTGCTGCTTAAAGCTCAGTGAGAATCAAAGATCATGATCGCCGTTTTCGGCGAAGGTCGGCCGCATTTGTTCTTTCTCTTTTTCCGGGTAACCTGACATTTTTCCTCAGTTGCATCAGATAATACGCGAATAAAATTGCTGTCGAATAATATGCCTTGAAACTTCTTGAAACATGTTTCACTTTTAATCACTCTTTTAGACATATGAAAAAAATACTTTTTGTTTTAAACGAAATGGACTGATGGGTATTTCATTTTGGTTTTTTTCTATTTCGTAAATTATATATATATATATATATATATATATAATATAACAATGCAATTGTCTCGTGAAAACTATGCGGCAGTATTAATAATGAACAGAATACATCTCCTTAGAAAAGAGAAAAGATCCGCCCGACAGTAGTGGTGGTGAGACGAAGCCATCGAGCAGCGAACTTGCAGCAGGTGTAATCGGGGCTGCTACAGTGAATTCGACGTCGCAGGGAAAAGGGACGAAGAGATCACGTAGATAGTAAGTATTTGGAAAAATTTTTGAGACATTAACTACAAAAAATCCCTTCGTCAAAGAATAGATATAAGGAGCGACAGTGATAAAAATTGAAAGAAACTGCAGCTACTCGCGATATACATGAATATATGTTGTTTCATTCGAAAAATCTCAAGACGTGTAAAACGTGTTTGATATATATTAATTCGAAACTTTATTTGAAGAACGATATCTCTTGTAATTAGATGACTCGGAAATGCTTATACATTCGACTTTTCAAAATTTGCTCTTAAACTAACTTGCTGTGTCTTTGAATAACCGTTGTTCGAGCGCTGACGAAGACTGCGACGATCCTGGTACTAAAGCAGTGCGCGAGAAAGAACGTCGCCAGGCCAACAACGTGCGTGAAAGGTTAGTGAACACACGCAGTACGCACTTCGTTGCATCTTGATATACAAAAACAATTCCAGTCTTTTCCGTTCTTCTCGTTCCCGTATTCCGATATACGTATATGTCGCTTACAATATGAGCGATACGTGTGTATATCTCTACCGCCGTATGTAAAGATACGAAACTCCACTGTATATTCTCTCGGAGAGAATCCCTCTACATAGTCGTATGCATGCCTAAACGAGATGTTATTTATGATAAGCAATAAACTATGAGATGTAATAAATTTAATGATTCACAAATGATGGAAAACATGTGGCATGTTTACGGCTTTGTTATGATACCAAGGGTCCTGCAATCCGAAGCTTCCTTCATATCCGTTGCACTGTACATAAGGCCCGTATTCAGGCGTGAAAATTAAAATGTTTCTGGTTAGAAGGACAGAAATGAGATGAGACAAGATGAAATCTGTTAACAGCTCTCTCGTGCGTACCTACAAATCAGTCTCATTTTAATTCAGCTGCGATTCGGTCCCTAGGCATGCTATTTTTCGTTTAGAACCGCACTTATTTTGCATCATTGAACGTTGCATCAAGAATTGCTCAGTTGTATAGATTTTTTTCCCAATTATCGCATTTTCCTTATTTTTATTATATCTTTTTCAAATAAAAGAATATGTCATATTTGTAGACTGATAAATCACTTATATGTTGATCATACTTGTATTACTTAAATTTTTGAATATTATTATAATCGTCATATTTTTTAAAAATAAAAATTGATTACATTGAGACAATTTTTCTCAATTGCGTATAATTAAACATCTATTTTAACGTTAATAATATGTCTTCGATTATGTTATTCGGCTGTTTTATTTTTTTATTAATTTGTCATTACACCCTTCAAATTCTGTAATCCTATATAATACTGTCAATTATAGATGTCGTATACATTCTGAATTTTCTAGGTAACAACATCAAAATAGAAGATCTGCATTTTTCGATCCACAATCATTGTCCTTTGATTGACATGATTATTCGTCATGGATTGTTTGTTCTGTGCAAAGAATACGGGCCTTTAAACTCGTACCTATACTTACTATCCACGATTTCAAAATTGTGAGACCATCTGCGTGTGTTCATTATCATATCGCTTGTATATTACAAAAAAATATATGAAATCCGCTCGAACAACAACTAGATAATTAGGTATCAGCAAATCGAAAGCAAATTTTGTCGTAAATTGCGACTATGTGTCATTCACATTAGTAATTCAATTACTGTCAAATTTAAATGATATAGGCTAGAGAGTAAGTTATGAAGTAAACCAGGTGATTAATCGCGTATTGTTATTGCGCAACTGTTGTTCGAGCGCCGAGGACGAGGATGATGATCCCGACATGAAGGCACAAAGAGAGAAAGAGAGGCGACAAGCAAATAACGCTAGGGAAAGGTAAGATCAATGATATGCGCAGTGGATGTAAAAAATAGATTTTAGTTGGTCCATAACAATGTGATCAATTCTGGTATAAGTCAATAATAACAACGGCCCGTATTCTACGCATACGTGACATAACAATACAACATGAATTCTAAAATTCTGATGACGAAAATAAATGACATGTTTTTCTTTGTATTATTTTATGAGATCGGCATGTTTATACATATACACAGGGTGGCTCACATAATTAACAATTTAATATCTCAAGAACTACATGATCAATATTATTCGTTCTAGACTTTTTCGAATTTTTTATAGATCCCAGGAGACCTTTAAACTTTATGCCAAGATTGATCTCCCCCTCTGATCTCCCTAAAGAGTAAAGCGAGAAGCAACTCCAAAATTTCAAAAGAGTGCCTATGTTAAAAATCAATAATTCCCATAATCTACATTATAGAAAACAAACAATTTTTGTCTAATCTTGACATAGATTTAAAGGTTCCTGAGATCTATGAAAATGGAGAACAGAACAATTAAAATTGATAGCGCAGTTTTTGAGATATTAAACTGTTAACAGTTATGTGGACTACCCTATGTGTGAATGTGTGTGTATAATTTCTATGTCACACATGCTTATATAATTGTATTTTTGTAACCAAAAATTATAATAAATATATGATATTTTGTTTGTACAATTATATTTCTTCAAAATTTGAGTTGCACTAGACTAACATTTTCTATTGTATATGTGATAAGAATATTTCTTGAAAGCTTAATGTGCATAATGAGTGTGTAAGTACACATGGTGTAAAAAAGATGTAACATTATTAAATAATATAAAATTATTCTATTCTCCAACACATTTAAAAAAAGAAAAATAAATATTTTTAAGAGAGTAATTTAAACATTGCAAATGTCTAAATTTTATCTCTCACAATAGGATACGTATCAGGGATATCAACGAAGCTCTAAAAGAACTTGGCAGAATGTGTATGACGCATCTGAAGACGGACAAACCTCAAACGAAACTTGGTATTCTCAACATGGCTGTTGAAGTTATAATGACACTCGAACAACAAGTCAGAGGTACGTGTGTGAACTTGCATGCTTATTGTTAATTGTTGTATTATATTAATATGTATTAACATTCATGTATTTAATGTATTTTTTCTTTGTTCAGAACGGAACCTTAACCCGAAAGCTGCGTGCTTAAAAAGAAGAGAGGAGGAAAAAGCCGAGGATGGCCCTAAGTTACCAGGCCATCTTGCAGCGCACATAGCACATCCGCATTCTCATCCACATGCACACTCCCAACCACCCTTCCCCACATTACCTGTAAGATTTTGTTAAAGCACAATTCATTATATATGTACATAAAGATGTATAATGAAATATTTTACTTAAATATATATATATACATATATATATCTTTGTTTCAGGGTCCACAACCTTCCCTTCAGCACAATCCACCACAACCGCAGTAGCAGCGGCTTAGTGGCGGTATCATTCTGTGTTAAGGGGTAGATACATCTTAAAATCGATAACAAATTTACGAATATGACTTGCATATCTACATAGAAATTTTTTCTGCTCTCATATAAGTTGTAGGAGTGTGCAAAAAATTATGAATATTATTGTGCTGCATTGGCGGAAAAAATAAAAGAAGAGGAGAATATAAAAAAATTGTTCCACCCTCTATCATTTGGTTTTAATATCTTTATTACTGTATTAATGTATTAATATATTATATATTTTAATATTATTACAATTGTTACTATTATAATTATTTGCATAAAATCTGAATCGCGCTTTGAAATCATGATCTATCTATTCATTTTACAATATGTGTTTCAGTATTACTGCAAAAGCGGTACATAAGAATAGCCATAATTTTTTTGTAGCACTTCTCCAATATGCAGTTAATAAGAAAAGTTGTATGCTCACATAAGCATAGTGCAAGTAGTTTTAAGAGGCATCTACCCCCTCAAGGCGGCTTCAAATTATTTTTATAAATAGCGGAAAGAAAAAAAAACACAAAGGAATATGGTTCCTCTCTTTCGAGATATATAATGTGTAGTACGATCGAAGTTTTATTAACGGTCGGACTTCGCTGCTGACTCATGTTAAATTGCCCATTTTTGTGTATACACTACCGTTTACGTTATAACGCGCAATAGGTAGGAAGAGAACTCGAGTTGGCTGAAAACAGAGTCACTGACTAAAGATAAAGATAAAGGCAACATATTTTCGGTTCGATTACAGAAATTAGATATACTTTACTTATCTAAATTGACGAAATCGGCCAATTCCGATGATTGAAAGCCTTTTGCAAGATTTATTCATTTTTCATTGAATATAGCTTGTTATACCGGTGTAAATAACATAGATTATGTTGCCTTTATATTGATCATTAGACGTTGGCAATACTGTATATAGAGACTATTGTTTACGAGCGTTCAAAATATGAATGTTGAAGATGCTAGCGGTTCGTTCACGCTCGCGAAAAACGCCATCCTGCAACTGACTCGCGGTGTGATAAGAAAATCACATTCCGATACTTGCAGCTTCTTTCTTGACACATACAATTTTATTGAAAACAAAGAAAACGAGTTTTTTTTTCATTTATGTTATTGAATTAAAAAAACTTGCTTTTAAGCTAAAAAAATATATATTACTGAATCATAATTTAACATATATGATACTATATATAAACTATGTAAAAACATATATGTTATATTTATGGATTTGAAATATATCAATATTTTGGTTGGAAATATTGTCCAATTTGATAAAAAAGCTGCAATTTTCAAATAATAACGAATATTTCTTGTGACATCGCGTTACGTAAAATACTCTAACTTTTAAAATCAATACTATTATTATCTGAAAAAATATGAAAAGGAAGATGGCTGCAAAGATACCTTACTTAACAAAGTTATCACATATATTTATTTTATTATTTTTCAAGCGTTTTATGGCTAGAATTTGATCATGTATGCCATTTAAGTGCCATTTAGAACTCTCTTGATTTTAACATCAAGCTGGATATTATTAAAACATTCAATTATAGTTTATATTAAATATAATTTATATATCCCTGCTATTACATGCAGATTATTTTTAACCGGTAAGCCATTTTAATTTTTTTGGATTGTATAAAATATTTCTATAGTAACTGTAGGAAAAAATAGCGTGAACGATCCGTATCCAAAACCGAAAGCGTACTTTATAAGGAATAACACTATAAGAGATAACATTCGCGCATTTCAATGAATAATTTGTTTTATTTTACTTTGATGATCGTTCGGATGATCTTTAATTTAAGAATAATGGAGGATTTTTAATTTAAGAAGCCATTTTAGAACATCCTTGAATTATATATTAATCAATTTTACTAATTATATATCTTTTTTATCTGTATTTTGACACAAAAAGATATAAATTAAAATGGAATAGATTGTTTTAATACAGCAAAAAAAAAATGAGAAAAAAGATTGGGCAGTTAAAACATGCACAAAAGGAAGCTCTAAGAAAATCAAAATTATTCAAATAGTACGCTTTGTTTTCATAGCAATTTGTTATGATGAGTGCGTTGCAATATATCATTAGCAAGAATTGGGATACATTTATATATTAGACGTGTGTATTGCGAAAAATATCACAATGCTTGATGCGAAATGCATCCTTTTCGTGACATATAATAACATATGTTCAAAGGATGTACTTTGCAATTACATTACACAATGCTTTTCATTATCGATGTTGCTGGAGATAAAAAATTTTACAATGGCATTCACTGGTTTTGGTATATTGTCGATTCACTCTGAACCTCTTTGGGCCTTCGGGGTGTTCCTCTTCCTGCGCTATCTTTGCCATTGATCATTTGGGCAAAATTTCTGTACTTATATGTACGCGATAAAGTGGAATATAGATGAAACAAATGGAATAAATAAGCTTCGTAAGACGTGCTTAAGATCGTTACGAACACAATTCAACTCGCACAAGTATGAGAAGAGACAAACCAACCCCAATCATAATCATGATTAATTATTATTAATTATTATTATTATTATTTTATCAGTTAATTACCGCCAATGAGATCTTTCGTGAAGGAAAAAAACGACACATTTTTGTTTTTGAACAAAAATATAGCTCAAACGTATCTGTACCCAGTTGCCATGTATTTTAATTTATATTTAAATTCTTAAATAAATTTTATTGAAAAAATGAAAAACCCAACAAAAAAGCATTGAGTGTCCGTGTTTACTTCGCCTCTTTTCTGCTCTACTTTCTTTTTCCCTTTCTGTTGGTCTATTGAGAATATTCTCTTGCACAATGTACACGTATAGCTATATTTTTCTTCAAAAGTATGAAAGTGTTTCAAAGTTTAAGAATGGAAAATTATACAAATATTATATGATTCTGTTCGGGTTCTGTGACAAACCTTTTTCTTTATGTCATTCGAGAGCTAAATTCATATCAAAACAAACATATGTCAAACACATATCATGTATATTTATTGTAGTTATTGTACAAAATATTGTCTCTTGATTAATCTTTAAATGTCATATTTTTAAATGATCATTTAAATTAATTTTTAAGTGGTCTTTTCTTTATCGTTTTCGTATGACCATGTTCTTCTGAATTACATAATTTAATCATAACAAATTGTTTACAAAATTATATAATGCTTATGAAATTATATGATTATCTTAAGCGATAATATGCTGTGTATGCGGAATTTTGTTCAAGATCAAGCTTGTATAAGTTGGTTTTCCTTTCCTGCATATAGGTATCTATACAGGACTTTCAATTTTAATAACAATTAAATGTTTGTCTCATTCACATGAGATATGACGTGCTGAAAAATTTGTATGAAGTACTCTGCAGTTAAACGTACACAAATGTGGAAATGTAAAATAAAAATCATTCTATGATTGTAAATCAAATGCAATTATTCAGAGATGGCTAAGAAATACTATTAATACTCTAACGTAATATTTGATACAATATTGACATTGTAGATATATTTTTATTTTCTGATGTTTTCAAATCAATCAATGATAGCAGACAAGAGAATTAATAAGATTGTTCCAATATTGATTTTTATAAGCTGTAAGCTCGTTTAAATATTTTCTAGGAAGTACTTATTGTAAAATTACTTTTGTTCTCGATCAGGATCTATAGACTAGGAAATCTGATCGGCAAGAACTCGCACAACCTCGCTCCACGTTTAATTAATAATCATTAATCATGCTCCGTTGCTTCGGTGCGACATTTTATAATTATAAAATCATACTTAATAAAAAGAGAGAGAGAGAGAAAGAACGAAAAAAAAACGTAACGATTGTACATTGCGATAAACTGCAGAAAAAGCCGCTCACAAACACTAATAAAATACACGATCACACACTTGTATTCGCGAAGGTAATCATGTAAAATAATAACGACAATAAATAGCTCGTAAGCCAGTCTAAGCTAGACACTTGTCGATAGTCGTAGATAGTCAAAGTGAAGCTGAAGAGCGAAGACACCGTCTATACGGGGGGGATTTGAAGTCCAAATCATCGGCCATAAAGGCTCCTTCACACAGACCTTTGTACATGAAACGAAATAATTATGCTCTTAATAATGGCGTTATTTTCGAATAAGTACATATCGAGGATATCAAGGGGCACCGCATTTTCGTTTGATATAACGAGTTGGTTGATAAATTCCGATAAGAAATCAATTTATAATTATTGTTAAGCGTAAATAACAATGAGAAAACGTAAGGAATTATTTGTTGCAGTCTAATTGTGTAAGGATTCAGTTTTATTGGTATAATTGCGAATCGATAATTATCATATCATGTAAGGTGTAACTATATTAGATATATAATATTGTATAATATGTAATAAAAAGGATTAATGCGTAAGAGTGGGTTGTAGACAGTTTGTGTGAATGGGCCTGAAGGATATTGAAACCGATTTCTTCGACCCTACATGCGATTAAAAAGAATGCGACTATTAATATTAACGAAGTACGAGATGAATATATAAATATATAAACTCTTCTCTTAACAAAAGAGAGAAAGAGAATAAGCGAGAGAGCGCGAGAGAGGGAGAGAAAGAAAGAATGTGAGAGAGTGAATAAATGTATCGATTGAGAAAGAAAAAAGATATGTAATTATATCATTAGTATATATAATATTACTATCACACTAATATAATAAATGTGCCATTTTTTCCATAATCGCAGTGTCGCCTAACGTGGATCCTTGGCGATCCGTCAAACTTTTTCTTTTTTGTTTCTCTTTTTAATACATCATTCTGATATATGCTATTTGCCATCATTTATTTTTTTTTCTTTCTCACTCGTTATTTTATTTGTATATTGTATTCTCAGTATTTTAGACAATATTTACATTACGTTTTACGTTTTGCTCCTATGATACGTTTCGGTTTAAGTTTAATTATACTTCATTATACACAGAACTTTACGATTAGCTACATTATGCACAGTATGTAGATACTTTTAGACATTAACGAGTACAGCACGATTTGTACTTGCTCATCGTCTCTAACTGATGACGAATACATTTTATGAACTATTGCAGTACAGATATGAACATTTGTAGAGTCCACATACTTTGGACTTTATATTTCTCGTACCTCATGTTATACAAGACAAGATCAACGCGTTACAATTTTCATACGCTACATATGATCATTTCTTTACGAAGAGGGAATAAAAACGCAAACGGAAATAAACTTATTAATTTAATCTACGAGATTGTGCCTAACGACAATATATTATTCTTTCCAATTTCATTATCATGTAATTCATCGTTGCGTGCGATGTGGGTAATTTCATCGATGGTAAAAAGCTAATTTTAATATGACCATTTCTCAACTCTCACTTTGCATATGCGCGGTCTTGTATATTACTATTACAAAATTATTTACACGACCGCAATATTAGCGGTCTTCTATCTAAAACCGTTCTCGACCTAATGCTGCGAAGATGAATGATTAAGAAACTCTATTGCGAATTCTATCTAGTGGTTTTTGACCGACGTTCCGCGTATTTACATGCATGACCTATATGTAACTCGCAGAATACGCGTTGCTGTTTTATCGTTCTTAACTTTGTTTTTACTAGATATGGAAAATTATAATGTTTCGTAATTTTATTTAATCAAAAATGATCGCGTTTAAAAAAGAATATGAATTTATCGTATGAAAAATTTTTGAGATAGTTATTATAGAATTGATATTTAATATGAATTACTAAATCATTACAAAAATATTCATGTATAATGTATCAGTCATTTATATTGGATCGCAACTATACAATAATTATAGTTTTTTAAATGTTTCTATTTTTAGAACCTCGTTTCATAAAACATGTTTACTTGGACATTTTTTTATTTGATTGCATTTATACATTTTATCATACATTAAAGTAAAGTATATATACATGATTTATGCTTGATAACAACTAGAAGCAATGCGCATATAAATCTATTTGTTTTATTTTAATATATGATATTAATAAATCAAAACAAAATACGTGATTGTGATTCGCGAAATTTTCGCATAATCATACGCAATTGCAAATAGAAATAGAACAATAGAGAGAGCATATTTATAAATCATTGAATGCCAGCAAAAACGTTTTTTTAGACCAATGTATTATCTAATTCTTGAAAATAATTTACAATTTGATAAGATATATGCTATTATTTTTGTGTGCAATTGATAAATATCTGTATTAATTTTAAAAACATTATTAACGTAGAACTCGAAGATTGTTATAAATTTTATATATATATATATATATAAATTGTTACATAAAAATACTGTGCGCTTGTATAAATACTTACGTCTACATCGGCGGTTAACGTTTCTATTAGCTTAGCTTTGGCCTCTTCCCCAATGTAAATCTTCATGCCCTCCTTAACGAAATCATTATCCTTATAAGTAGGAAGGTCCTTTTCCTTCTCCTTATCGGACGCTTCTCGATCCACTGTCGATCCTTTTAGGTCGAACTTTTTGTGCGTTGTCAAGTGATTCGAAAACACATTCCTTATGGCGACTACGTAATGCTCGACGCCATCAACGGTCAATCGGTACATTCCCAGACGGCATTCATGTTAAATTTAACACGTATGTGAAGGTATTATCGTCCATGTGACGTTTGCAATATAGTTACCGTATTATAATTTAATTTTTGTATTAATTCTATTTTATCCAGTATATTTGGCGATGATTAGATCAAGTTAGAAAAAGAGCGATCCAATTGTAAGCATTACTTTTACTTCCTGCTCCACGTAAGTTGCATAAGATTTCATTATAATCGACGTCTCGATTCTCTATTTGTTAGAAACTTTAAATCTTAATGGAAAATTGATTACGAAAAATCATAGATAAATATTATGTTGTCACAGCCATATTGAAATTCCTGTTTCTAATGGTTAACATATTTTCCCAACACATTTTTGCAGAATGATGTCATGTTTTATAACAACATTCTTTATCAATGATTCCTGTACGGAAGCGAGGCGTTGCTTACAGAAATCAAAGAAACCGCCGCACTCTTTCACGAGGAGCTGCTAATTTTTGTCTTAATAATACGGATATTCATCATAATTTTGACAATTTTTTTTTTATTGTCATGTAAACTATAATCCGAATGATCACGAACCAGCCGAATAATATGGCAACGTCAATCCAAAACATGGGCTTGAACATATCTAACTCTTTTAGTATCATTGATGGTATCCGAAAATGGCAATATTCTATGTGGCTCGGACAATGTATCTTTTCTCGATGAAAGCCGTAAATCGCTTGCATCAAGCCTTCGAAAGAGTATCTTATGAAGTTCATATAGCTAATATAGTAAAGGATCACCGGCATATGATTGAACAAGATCAGAAAGCCAGATAGACACAACATTGCGCAAACGATAAAAGCTCCTAAGAACGTGCCATTAATGGGATTGAAAATTGCACCCAGACCCAATCCTATGCCCTCCGAGACGAGACTCGTCAACAATAAGATGAGTAGAAACATGAAGAACCGATGCCATTCCATAGGTTGGCTGGTTAACACGTAAGAGATGCTCGAGTAAATGAGGCTGATTAATATCTGCAACAGCAGGGTGGTCATCAGGACTGCTATGTAGTAAGTCTTCAGTTTGTACCAATTGTTGAAGCGCTCCTTCCTCAGGATGGCTATCTCCAAAGGAAACTTCAGCACGGCTGGTATCAAAGTAGTGTACACATTGTACATAATGCTTAGCATCAGGAAACCAAAATTGCTTAAGGTCTTGCTGCTGTCGTCGCCGGTGTGTTCAAATAGCAAGCCCAACAGAATAGACACGAAGAAGAGGATGATTATTTTGAGGTAAATCATTGTCCAATCTCGGTACATTAACAACATGGAACGACGTACGAGTATCATGAATTTTGTAATCTCGGAGGGAGGTTTTATCGTTGAAAGTACCTGTACGTTCCGCTCGTCGAAGGACGCTTCTTTGATCATGTATTGTTTTAAAGGTGTCAAGACTCTTTGACAATGATGTTTGGCCATCGTAATCAGCTGGTTATCGTAATTCCCATATTCCCCGTTGACTACATCTAGCATGTAATCCGCAGGATTGTGATATTTGGGACATTGAAAGCCCTGTCGGGCGAAATAGCTTACTGTATTGGCGGGCGTACCGGCGTACATACAATGACCATCGACTATCAGGTAGATATGATCAAACATATCATAAATCATGGCACTGGGCTGATGGATGGTGCAGATGATCGTTCTGCCATTTTTCGCTAGACTTTGCAACGCGGAGACGCACTGAAAGGACGCCAACGAGTCCAGGCCGGTGGTAGGCTCGTCCAGGAACATTATCGGCGGATTATCGATCAGTTCTAGAGCAATGCTAAGCCTTTTCTTCTGTCCTCCACTGAGCCGGTTGATCACTGTGTCCTTTGTTTTTGTTAGATTTAGTCTCCTCAGGATATTCTCGGTCAGCATATGCCTGAACTTATGCGTCACATTACCAATTTTCAGATAGGCCGCTATCATCATGCTCTCCTGGACAGTGAACAGATCGTACAGATAGTCCGTCTGCTGAATGTAGCACGAGTCCTTTTTGTATTTGTTCCAATTTTGTATACCCTTGTTGCCGATATAGTTGATCTCTCCCGTTAATCGTCCCTGCTGGAATCCATTCAGAATGTTGAGTAGTGTAGACTTGCCGGCACCGGACGTTCCCATGATGGCAGTCAATTCCCCGGCTTTGAAGATTCCGTCCAGGCCCTTTAAAATCTGTTTCTTTTGTCTGCGATATCCGATTTGGACCTCGTACGACAGATCCTTGAATTGGATGTCGATCATCTGGGTCTTCAGTGAGACAGGTTTATATTGCAACATGGTTTATCGGTTTGATTGACCTACTGAGAAAATCTTCCGTTTGTCCGTCTCTTTATTTGCCACACGATATCCTTGTTTCCACCAATCCACGCTTATCGGCGCAGGGGATACCGCAAAAAACTTCGTCTATCTGATTTACGAAGACAAATTGTGTACATGTAATATACATATACGTTGTATATACGCGATAATGGGTCTGCGATGCGATTGCTTTGTTGTATTTACAATTGAATTGATGTCAGTCCCAGTTTCGAAATGTTTTGGCGTCGTATTTGATAATCGTGGATACGATAACGCAGTATAATTATAATTATAATTATAAAAGTTTTCTCTGGATTTTTCCACGCTTCTCTCATAAACATAAAATATTTCGCAATCTATACAATATCACCGTCACCACTCTATACAGATACATACACGAATCTCTGATAATTTATTTTTTCTGATAATATGTTGCTTAGTAATGCAATTTCTCATATAATATTTATTTTATTCAACACTTACAAAGTATATTATACACTTTGCATATCGTGCATGTTATATCTCGTATCATTCGCTCTTACAACATTCTTAATGGAGTTTAGCTGCTCTCTTGCAAATGGCTTGTGATTCCATGAGCAATATTTTTTCAACAGTTTCCGTGATCTTTAGTAATTGCTATTTCAATCGTATTCTGCAATTTCCTCTTTGCTTATCTGCAATACAATAATATTATATTATTATGTTTACATTTACATTTCAAAGAATGAAAATTCTCGCCACATTGTTTGATGACACTCAACAACATCGCAACAAGAATGATTAAATACATCGTTATATGTGGCTGATAATTTATTAAATATGTTTTATGTAATAACCAAAAATTTATTTGTCGAAAGTTAATATTATAGCTAAATGAAATATGCATTATTAAATTAGAATCATATATCATATTACATATTATTAAATGAAATAGTATTTGTTAAATTTCTAGAGAATATTAAGATGTCTAAAGACATTTTCAAAATTTCTAAGAAGATGATAAGACGTTTTCAAAATATCTTTGATATGTCTTTTAGATATACGTGTTGTCTGAGTTATTGAAATGAAATCTGTCTGATTTATCCGGATCTTATTTTGATTTATAATATATTTATTCTATCGTGATCACGCACATACACAATCTGATCTTGATGTGTGTGTGTGTGTGTGTGTGTGTGTGTGTGTGTGTGTGTGTATTGCATTTTCCTCTACAATCATAATCTCTAATCTCATCGTATTATTCTCATTGTCAATAATTTTTTGCACGCGAATTTTATCTCTCAAGAAAACATTGTAATCATTATTTAGCAGACATAACATATATATGTTA